GCTTTAATATGTTTCTGTATTGCACCTGATCCATTATAGTATCAATAAATTGGAGTTTTCTGACACCCTTCCAAGCCATTGTACCCCATACCATCACGTTACTGTCACCATACTTGACAGTTCCTCTCACACAGTTAAATTTGCCGGCTTTTCTCCAAACTTTTTGGGCTCCATCAGATGAATTTAAGTTGAATTTGAAAATAAGTGTTTCTTACTCAAATATGGTTTATTACGCACAAGTTGTCCTTGAAATCCCTGGTCTCGAATACAACTTTTGATTGTCTGATGGGATAATTTGATTCCATGATTCAAATTATCCCATCAAGAAAATGAAGTCAAGAAAAATCTCTACATTTCTGCTCAAAAACTGGCTGAGCAAGCTGAAGAGTTCTTTTCAATGTTATATGATATAAAAAGGTTGTTTGGTAAATTGTTATTCTCACCATAAATTTGATTGTATAATCTCAATTATTTTACTCTGAATATGGAGGTGACATCTTTAATTTATTGATTGTCAGATTTTATATATACTTTTTAAAAAAATTTCTAGAAAACAGCAAAAGAACTTTTGTAACTTTCATGTAGCATAAGTTAAACAAGACATAAAAAACTTTTGAGAGTTTTTTATTAAAAACCAAACTTTTAAAATTTATATATATGTGAACATATTAAATTACATTTATTACACTTAAAGCTTTAAATATGCCTAAAACACATTTATGTTTTGAATTTGTGTAATGTAAGTTGCAAGATAAACACTTATCTTTTTCATCTCAACTTCTAAAAGGTTTGAAACTTTAAATATGAATTTCTTAAAGTTTAGTAACTTTAAGTAATTCATATTTAAAGTTTCATTTAAACTTAAATTTAAAACTCATATTTAAAGTTTCATTAAACTATTATTGACATAAAGTTGTTTTTCATTGCGATTCCCGAGTTTTTTTAAAATCCTTGTATATCTCTAAGTTTAAATAAATGAATTATAAGATAATTTAGCAAAAGGTTAAACTAATTTGTCATTTTTAAATGGCGAAAATTTCTAAAAAGTCTTTAAAAACTAATTGAACTGATAATTTTTCTTTAACTTTTCGAAAATTCTTGTTTAACTTCATAACTGAATCCAAAAACCCATTTACTTTATGTAACACATACAGCTGTTAAAGCTTCAGGCAAATAGAAAACAACAATATATTGTAGTAATTTATCACGGATACATGTCTACCCCCAGTAATATAAGTGAAACAGGTCAGATCAAACTCACTTTTATAGAGTTATATAAAGTTTGCAACTAGGACAAGTAATATTTAGCTGAGAGAAAAGAAGTAATTGATTGTATTAGAAAGTGCATTAAATAAATAAGTATAATAATAAATAAGTTTGAACATATGCCGTGATTTATAGCATGTAAATTAAGAGAAGCAAGTGGCCACAGTAAATCTATTTTACTATTAAAAACAACTGTACACATGATTATTTTAAGTCTATCTAAAATCATGGAAAACTTAAGCAAGCATTTTGTTTATTACAATTAGAGAAAAGGTTTAGAACATTAATCATTAGTCTTAAACTGTATAAACCATTTAATATCATTTATACAGTTTAGCACAGACAATCATTTGTAATTAATTTAGTTCATAAGGTTTAGTAGAATTATTTGTTTTATATTTAGTTTCTTAAAGTTTAAATAAATTTAAACAAAACTCACAACTTATATGTTTGACCTTACCACATAAATTGTTATAAAAACAACCTATATGTTTGTTCTTACCACATAAATATGCAATTTGCTTAGTGGAATCCTTAGTGAAAATAGATTGCTGGTTGCTTGTTAACTTTAAGATTAGAAACAACATGATTAAATTAAAAAAAAAACCCAGATAAAAAGCATTATGCTACAAGCAAAAAAATTGAAAAGTTTGAAAGTGGTAACAATTTGATTATTCACCTTATGAGTATGAAAAATTTCAACTGTTTTAAATAAAATGAACCTCAAGCTATGCATTATGAAGCTCAAGCTATGTATTGTGGATGAACCTTAATCTGCACATTATGTATAGTGGATGAACCTTAATCTGCACATTATGTATAGTGGATGAACCTTAATCTGCACATTATGTATTGTGGATGAACCTTAATCTGCACATTATGTATAGTGGATGAACCTTAATCTGCACATTATGGATAAAGCTTAAGCTGTGCACTATAGACATAATCAAAATTGTTTTTTGGTTGTAGCAATCTGGCAAAAAAATATTTAAATTTTCGCAATTGCATCTGATTCTTAGGATCATCACAAACACCTCTATAATGGCCTATTTAGAAAAGTTATTGCAATTTCATCTAATACCATGGAAATTCTCATTTTAAATGCCAATAATTTTATTTCAATAAAAAAAAAATCCAATTCCAAGTTTCACCATAATGTATTAGGCATTTTACACAAATAAAAGAATAAAATGGTCTGTTTTTATTTCAAACTATTTTTGTTTAAATAAATCTTTTATGCTTGGAATTAACAACTCTCACAACAAAACAAAAATAAGAATTTACAATACTGTTTAAATGCTTTTTCAAATGTTTAATAAATCATTAAGAGAATTTATTTATAAAGTTGATAAATTTTAGTACATTCTCTTCATAATTTATTTTAAGCATACAAGTTTAATTAGAATTTTTTTTTACTGTATCTGGTCATTCGACACTAATTTATAGTATAAGGTAACATTTATAGTATAAGGTTTAAAATAACTTTAAATAAAAAGCCAAATCAATGCTCTTGCACTTTGATAAAAAACTAAATAAATGAGTTCAATACATTTGTGAATTTTATGTTGCGTAACACTAAAAAGTAAAACTACAAAATGCAAGAGATATTGCTTTTAAAAGACAAATGACTTCTAAAAATTGTTAATAAAAACTTTTTTAAATAAAAAAAACAATTTTTTCAGATTTTAAATTGATTTAAATATTATCTGCATTGTTAAAAAGTTCCATACTTTTACAGAATTATTTTCCATTATTTGTATGGAAAGTACCCATTTAACAAAATTGAACAAAAATTTTCCGTATTATATATATTATATATAATATACAATATATATATATATATATATATAATATATATATATATATATATATATTTTATTTATGATTAACCGTAATAATAATGATAATAATACAATAAAATAATAATAATAATAATAATAATAATAATAATAATAATAGTAGCAACAAAGCATTATCACTACAGAAAAATTTAGTATAGAAAAAAGTAAGAAAGAAAAAAGGTTATAAAACTTATCAGAATTCAAATTTGAGAAATAAAATAGTACTTATTATAATATACACACACACACACACACACACACACACACACACACACACACACACACACACACATATATATATATGTGTGTGTGTGTATTTATACACATATATATATGTATATATATATATATATATATATATATATATATATATATATATATATACACATATATATATATGTATATATATATGTGTGTATATACATATATATATGTATATATATATATATATATATATATATATATATATATATATATATATGTGTGTATATATATATGTGTATATATATATATATATATATATATATATATATATATATATATATATATATATATATATATATATATATATATATATATATATAAATATATATATATATATGTATATATATATATATGTGTGTATATATATATATATATATATATATATATATATATGTGTTTTAATGGAAAAATCCATTTTTTAACGAAAACTTCCATTTACATGCGATGGGTTTTTCCGTAAAACAACAGGTAGTTTGGTCATTGGCAGCTTTGGTCATCTGGAACTTTTCCATAAAAAACGCGCTATTTTTAACAGTGTGTATAAATAATGTTTATCATGTTTTTAAGAACTTTAGAAAAAAAACAAACTATTTTGGCTCTTTCAAGGGCATATTCAAATAAGCAAGACCTGATCTAGCCTTGGATATTGATTAAAATTACATATGCCTAAAAAAGGAGAAAAACACATGCCTTTAAATCTGACGACATGCAAACAACCTTGGACAGCTCTCATTTTAGCCAATATAAAGTATGCAGCAGCCACATAAGAGTTAACTGAATTTACTAGTGATCTATTATGGGTTTGACTATTATTTTTTCTGACACATGTAATAAATGATATTCTATAAATTCAATATAGTATAACTGAAGATCTTATTCAGTAAGTTGAATAAGATATTCAACTCACTGGTATTTTTCATTGCAATGATGTGAGCTGTTTTGAAAAGAAATCTTTATTATAAATCACTTGGTAACGAAAGTGATGCAAAAATTAAATGTTTATTGTCAAGATGACACATTTATTGAGTATGTCACTTTGCAATTTTTTCTAATTTTTAAATAAGTATTGAACTCACAACATAATAAAAGTTTCAAAACGATTCAAAACACCATTTTACAGAAATCTGACCTAAAAGTTGAACTTAAAAAAAACAATTTTTTATTTTATCATTTTACTTGGTTTTTCTGCATAACTTAAAGTTAAACAGCGTTTTTGATCATAAGTTTGTTATCATTTTGTCAGACTCAAAAATTTTCTATTTATTTTACTTTCAAATAACAGCTGCTATGCAAAATTGCTAAAATTTAATTAGGAGTATTAAAAAAAATATAATTGAAAAAGTTATTGTGAGTGTATATATCATATATCATAAATTATGCTGTAAATATGAATGCATCAAAAAATTTAAAATTATGTTCATTCTTACACTATCCTGCATAAAATAGAGGACTTTGTTTACCTAACATAATACCTAAAGAGATCTAAAAGCCCTAAATAGTGGCTCTTTTGGGTCTACATTTATCATAATATGGACTGAAACTTAACAATATTGTTTTTCTCCCAACTACATCATATAAAATTGTGATAAAATTAAGAAACAATTCTAATTTAACAAAAATAAATCTTACAGTACACTTCTTTTCTTCTTTTTTCCTTTTATCCATATCCTTATAGTGGTTTTGCTTTATTACATCAGGCAACCTGGTTTCAACTTTTTCCCTTAAAGAGCTTGAAAATTTCTTTTCAACTTCCTCAAACAAAGTATTTATATATAATTCTTGACTTGAACTTAAACTGTATTCAGATCCAGTTTCTAGATGACTTCCTAACGCATGATAATGTTTAGCGTCAAGTAAAACACCAAATTCTTCTTTCAATGCAAGAATCATCTCATTTGATGGAAATAGTTCTGTTTTTGATGCACAACATAGACTTTCACAACTGCAGAGCTATATTTAATTATGATATATATTCATATATATGTACATATATATATGTATATATATATGTATATATATGTACATATATATATATATATATATATATATATATATATATATATATATATATATATATTTAATTTTTTTTTGCAGGCCTAAATTATACGGTTTATAACAAAAATAAAAAAAATAAAACAAAGGATAATGAATCTTATCAATAAGGAAAAAAACATATTGCTGCCCAACACAAACCCTCAGTCGATGTACTAGCAACTCCATTTCATGTTATACATACAAAAGTTGATATATGTACTGAAGCCCTCAGAGTTCCTTAAATCAGTATGAACTCAGGTTGCCAATCTAAGCATACTATAAAAGCACATTTAAATCAACAATCTAATGTCATACTAAAAAAGGGAGCAGAGGAGGCTTCTTTTTGTTAAAAATCAATTGAAATGAACTTTTTTCTAAAATTACAAGCATATTTAAATTTTAACATCTCATCATGGTTTCAAATAGATCTAAAAGCCTTGTTTCAAATTGCAGTAAGTGCTTTAATTAAATATTGATTTTTATAATATTTTTTTAATTTTTCTTTTTTACTTTTGGTTAATATAAAGATTAATTATTCTTTGTTATGAGCAACTAAATAAATATTTTTTGCACATCATAAGAAAAATTCAAAAAAAAAAAAAAACTAGTTATATAATGGGTTCCCAGATAAGGATTGGAAAAGCAAAAATAAAATATAAAAAAAAAAAAAGTTCAAAGTCAAAACCAAAATATTAACAGTTCCAATTTAAATACATAAATACCAAACATTCAAAAGTTTTGCTATGGTAAGCAAAAACAATACCATGTGTCAGCAAAAAAAAAAATTTTTTGTTTCCTCAGAAAAATAGAAAGACCTGCAGATTCAGCATTTGTTTAATTTCTGAATCAAAAATTCTTGAAAATTTCAAATTTCTGTCCCAAACCCTTTTTTACTCATTAACTCTATTTTTGATAACTCCATACTTAAATAGTTGAAATAGTTTAAAATAATTGAAATAGCCATGTTGAGAATTTATTTGAAAAACAATAATAACAAGTATGAATTTTGTTTTTTAATAAATTTTCCATAAACTCATCATCCTTGTTAAAATCAAAATATTTTTTGCAAGTTTTTATGCAGGATATTTGAGTAGCAAAATTGTCAATTGTTTTATTGCAAACTTTTTAACACTATTCTAAATGTGTACAATTTAATATTCTACTGTAGAAAATCTAAAGTTCTTAAGAAAAATTTCTTTTTATTTAAATACCTAGTGTTATATGTATACTACCATATTACTTACTGCATAATTTTAAAAATCTACTTTTTTTTACTTCTAATTTTTAAAATTTCTACTTTTTTTTTTCCTAATTTTTAATATCTTTCTACTAAATAGAAAAAATTTTGAAAATCTTTGATAAATGATTTTGACAAAACTATGTTTAAGATATCTAAAGGATTCCACAATCTTATTAACCATTTTGTAACAACTGCAAAACAACACATCATATAAGTCAGACAACCTTATCACAAACAGAATATCTAGTAGTTGAAACACATTGCCACAACATGTAATAAATTCAGATTTAATTAATTTTTTCAAAAACAAGATCAACTTGATAAGCAAATATAGGAAATAAATAAAATAATGAAAATTTTTAAACATTAAAAAATACTTTATATTTTACCACATTCAGATCATGAATATAGATATTTAATAATAAAATTAAAAAAAAAAGCATTTTGCTTTGTAAAAGGTGTTATAGACTGACCTAGTGGGCACATGACATATTTAAGGCATCTAAAACATTAATCAGAAAGTGTTAATATGTTTTAAAACATTTAAAACACGCCTTGTGCCTATTGGAGAAATTCTACCTAATTTCAGTATCAACTTAATGAGTTACGTATGTATTTACAGATTTAATCATTTTATGTATGTACTTTTCATCAATATCATCTCTTGATTCTACTGGTTGATATAGCCAACAAACAGGTTGATCCACTGCTTGACATTGGTAACACTCCAGCATCTATATCTAAAGTTTCGACAAAGTTTGGCATGCTGGTCTTCTCCATAAGCTTGCTTCATATGATGTTTCTGGGAAAGTTTTTGAGATCATCAAATCATTTTTTTCTAACCGGTTTATTAAAGTCATCCTTGAAGGCCAACACTCTTCTTTATTTCCAGTAACTTCTGGGGTTCCCCAAGGTTCCACCCTGGGCCCTGTTTTGTTTCTTATCTACAGAAACGATCTTCCTGACAACCTTTCATCTAAAGTAGCTCTTTTTGCTGATGACTCAACTTTATACTCCTGTCTTGACAAAAAGTCTTCTCTTTTCGATCGCCTAGAACAAGCAGCTGATCTTCGATTTCACTGGTTTTCTAACGATTCACTTTCTCTTTTTGACAAGGTCCAAAAATGCATTGTAAATATTTTTTTCTCCGCACTTTCCTTTGGAACTCTCTCCCATCTTCATGTTTTCCTGACTCATACAACCTTCAATTTTTCAAGTCTTATGTCAACCGTTTCCTTGCTCTATAACTCTGTTCTTTTTTTTTTTCCTAGTAACTCCCAACTTAATAGTGGTTGCTTGCAGCCTTGTTGGGAGTGAATGCTAATAAAAAAAAAAAGTGATTTCCTGTTTAGAATCTTCTACAGGTTGTGGTTTGGACAAAATACCTGATATACTCTTGCAGAAATGTTTTCCGGGGCTGTAATCTATACTTTCATAACTATTTAACATTATTTCATTATTATTTAACATTATGTTTTTTCATAACATATTTAAGTGCTTATAAAAGTAATATTTTGTGCACGTGATTTGCAACTTTTATAGAATCGTTAGCAACGGCAGTAATGTTTTCTTCCACTAGACTAAGGGCACTTTGTAAAAAGTAGCGGCTTGATTAAAAACTTCATTACTTCAGGATATACTTCTTATACGATTAGATATCATTGAGGGAACAGTTTTAAGAATGTTTGGAGGATGGTTCAAATTAACATTGATATATAATGGGATTTTACCTGCTTTCTTATATGGCTGATAAGAACTGTCAGACAAGTTGAGAAAAACGTCAAGAAATTTAACAGTTTTTAAATTAGATTGTATTGTTATATTTAGTTTGAATTTTTGTTTAAAAAGAATGATAAGGTTTTTCTTTATTATTTCCGATTGCGATCCACTAATATCATTGAAACAGCCCGTCATCTCTATATAAATTGTTGGTACTTAATCTGTATTCTTTGCTGATGGTATATAAAATAAAAAGGCCTACCAGTTCACACAACTCAGCTCCATCAAAGCTTCCCATTGTCACGTCAAAATCAGAATCTCCTGATTTTTTAACTCACATATTGTTTCTTGTAAAAAGTAAGGATTTTCTAGAATGGTAAATAATATCAGTTGTTTTATCTGAAATTTGAGCAAAATTTTTGTCGTGAACTAAAGAATCATGAAGAAGCTGTATAGAAATGGAAGGATAAAAATCAACAATATCATATTAACAAAAACACAGTTTTTTTTGTCATTGATGTCATGGAACCATTTTAAAACGTTATTTGTACTATGCTATTGATGGACAAGCCTAGCATTTCTAACTTTCTTGTTAATGTCGTCTAGAATTGCAAATTGCTAACTTTTTCTAGCTCAGGCTTAACAGAGTTGATTATTCAGCACTGAGGGTTATTGGCAAAATTCTCTTTGTGGTCTTTTATGGTAATAAATGTTTTTTCATAGCAAGACATTCTAAACAATCGTCAATACCCAAATTGTAGTTATAACTTTAGCTTTCATGTAAATGTTGTTGTGTTAATATTGTTGTATTGTGTAGTATTAGATTTTTTATATGTTTTAGTAATATTATCGATATAAAGTTTTTCATATGAAAGTTTATCAATTTCATAAAGATTTTGAGATTTATCTGCAAAAATAAACATATTTTTCGAAGATATAATTTTAGCGATGTCATTACTTAATTGCTTTTGAAAATTGCTATGGATAGTGATAAAATATTTTTAAATATATTTAATAAATCATGCTCAAAACTTACAAAATCGGGATGTTGCGGTGGGCATTTTCTTGTTTTAAGGTCAAAATGACAAACAAACTCTTTGTTGGGATTTTTATCGCACATCAAAGCTTTCCACCTCATTCCTTTTACAACAAGCTCTACTTTCTTTGTTAAGTATTTTAAATATAGTTTTTTTTTTTATGGAATTGGTATGTTTTTCATTAATTAGTTGAAATAATGCTGCTTCATCATTGGAATTATTTATAATAACCAGATATATTAGAGAATGCTCAACAAAAAGGAACAATAATTTTGTAGTAATTGTGTAAATATTTCTTGTTAAAGAGTGCTCAATCCCAAAGTAGAACAATATATAGTAAAAACTAAATAATTATTTATTTAAATCGATTTATTTAAAACATTACTCAGAGTTTCACGCAAATAGCGATCATCAGATGTTACAAATCTTAAAAATAACGAAAAAAAAATTTATATTAAAAATACCATATAATTTCATCCTCTTTGCCTTTACTAAATAAGCAAAACAAACTTGCGTCTAAGTGTCGCCATGAAAATAAATACATGATGAATAACTTTAATGACATCAAAGAGGACACTCCACAGTATTTTTAATATAAATTTTTTTTTCGTTATTTTTAAGAGTTGTAACATCAGATGATTGCTATTTGCATGAAACTCTGAGTAATGTTTTAAATAAATCGAGTGTTATAATTATTTAGTTTTTACTATATATTGCTCTACTTTGATATTGAGCACTCTTTAACAAGAAATATTTACACAGTTACTACAATATATATATATATATTGCATGGTAGTTGCAAAGTTTTTCCATAAACTGTTGTTTTAAAGAGCGTGTTAATAAGCCTGACCAGAAAATGTTTAAAAACTTCAAAAAAAATTATTTTTTTTCAAAATGATAGACTGCCTGCCCAAACCAAACCCTCAGTTAATGTAGTAGCACTCCCTTGCGAGTCAGGCTATTTGTCAGTCGATGTAGCAGCACTCCCTTGCGAGTCAGGCTATTTGTCAGTCGATGTAGCAGTACTTCCTTGCGAGTCAGGCTATTTGTCAGTCGATGTAGCAGCACTCCGTTGCGAGTCAGGCTATAAGATAGTCGATGTAGCAACACTCCCTTGTAGCAGCAAGCTATAAGATAGTCGATGTAGCAACACTTATGCATGTTTTAAATATGTTTTTTAATAAAACAAAAATGTTTTTTAAAATGTTTTTTAATAAACAAAAACAAAAATACCACTAATTAAAAAAAACTTTCTAGTCATTATTATTGCGGTTTTTTTAAAAAACAATAAAATTTAATGTACTTCCACATTAATTTAATTACTTTAACATTTCGATGACAATCAAATACAGCTTAAGAGACAAGTTAATAAAATTGTAATCGAAAGAAACTTTTTTTACCATAAAAGTCTCTTTCGACTACACTATAAAGATATATATATATATATACATATATATATATATATATATATATATATATATATATATATATATATATATATATACATATATATATATATATATATATATATGTATATATGTATATATATATACATATATATAATGTATATATATATATATATATATATATATACATATATATATATATATATATATATATATATATATATATATATATATATATATATATATATATATATATATATATATATATATATATATATATATATATATATATATATATATATATATATATATATATATATATATATATATATATATATATATAATGGAGCAATTCTGGTGTATGAAACCATAAAATATTTGTGAGAGAATTATTTCTCTGGACTGATGCTTAAGTTTTAGCAATGCTAAAACTTAAGCATCAGTCCAGAGAAATAATTCTCTCACAAATATTCAATGAATTCAATGAACTCTAATAAATTTAAAAGAAAAATTAGGGAAACTTTGGAGACAATACAAACAAACTGGCCCACACAACCCAAAAGGGATGAATTTGGATGAGGTCAATATTTAAACACAGGCTTTTGGAAACCAATGATGTACTTTATTCAGAATATAAATTAACCCTTTTTGTGAAAATATTTAGTTTTTTAGTTAGTTATAAACATTGATTCAAGATGTTTTTGAAACAACATACTAAGTATGTTTTAACATGTTACAAAACTTAATACTCAACATATAACTTGTTTCAGATTACCACCATTATTATTTATTTTAACAACTATTCAGCATTTAATAAAAACTTTATGGTGTATATACTAAATCAAATATTGAATAGATTTTAAATAATTTTTGTGCAAAAAGGTTTTGGCTAAAACAAACGTCTTAATCTTAAAAATTCCGAAATTTTCTGATCACAAAAATCTACTTCTTATTTTAAGTTTTTAGGAGATAATTAAAAAAAAAACTTTTTAAAGTTTTTTATATGCAGCTGAAAAGTATATGTGAAAGACCTACTATATTTGTTTATATTATTAATTTTAACAAAAATATGTTTTACATTTTTATTTTGATTTGAAAGTCTTTTTTATAACTTGTTTCTGGTATTGTAAATTTAAACTATATAAAGACAAAAAGAATTATGCCTAATTAAGTATAAAAATAAACTACAAGAGAAACAAAAATATAGACCAAATACATTAAATGCATTTTATGAGAATACTTTATTTTATGTGGGAGGTAAACAAATTATTAACAACTATTCATAGTTAGTCCCCTGTAAAGTACTTGTAATCAAGTACAAATTGTTTCACGTTTTAAATGTACACAAGATTAACTAAGCTTTATCATTGAAGGCTAGGGAGGTTTCAAAATGTTAAAAAAGATTAAAACTAAATATAAGCTTAGAAGTTAAAACAAAAACTTCACAAAAAAAAAATTAAAACAAACAAAAACCTGAAAAACTTTTTGAATGGCTTTAAAGCAAAGTCGTGGAAACATGCGGACATAAATCAATGAATGCTTAACAATCATTGATATTGGTTGGTTCAATTTAATACATCTTGTGTTAAAATCCAATGATGTGTAAAGTCGCATCGAAAATGACATTTTAGAGTTATATAAGATACGAAACACAGAACTTTCTAAACAAATAAACTCCAATTAAAAAGAAATAACAAAATTGCTTTAATAAAGCTACTCAGTGGACACAAAATGCATATAAGATGTTTTAAACACGCATTAATACACTTTTTAATCCAAAAAAAATTTTGTGCAAGGTAAGAACCTGGGTAGGAAATTAGAAACAAATAATTTTTTATAAAAAACTATATTTAAATTATAAACCTCTTTTTTCTGGATGACTAAGATCTTTCCAGAGCTTGTCAATGCTACTATAAGTCAAACCCTCAAGAAAAACAATATGTAATATTCCATCTGCTATCTAAATAAAAAAGGTACATTAACGTAACAAAGAAACATACATAAAACCTAGTGGTAGTAAAGAAACATGAATAAAAGCTGATAACTATGAAACATACATGACAGCCAGTGATAACATCAAGAGATTTGTCAAAAAGCTGTTCTTCAGATAGTTGGCTTTGTGAAAACGGTTTTAAAGTTTGATGTGAGACTGTTAAATTTAAAGCTGCATCATTTATCTTGCTTACCAATTCTAGCAAGTTTTGAATAAACCAATTATAACTATAGTCAACTATAAACACCATTCTGTTAAATGGACACTGTAAACAAATAAATAAGAAACCTAAATTAGTCTATACTATTGGCAAACTATCTAGTGAGAATATAGATTAGACTTTGTTTATAGAAAGCCTCAACAATTTTTTAATTGAACTTCAGTTTTTAAAAGTTCTTACAAACGAAATTTTTGTTTGGAAATGTTTTAAAATTTTAGTTGCTGTTTTTGAGAAATATTTAAAGTAATTCATTAAAAAAATTTAATTTAAGTAATTTATAATCCCTTTATAATGCTGTGATTCAAACTGTTACTCAACTTATTTTTCTTCAGATATCTGTATAAAAAATCCCTTATGAGATACCTGAAAAATTCTCTTATGAGATACCTGAAAAAACTGCTTTTTTTTTTTGTAATTTACCTCCTCAAGGCCAAGAAGGCCACTACAGATGAGGAGGCTACTTGTGGTTATAACCCTCTCTCAACTCTATAGCTCTGAAACAGGAACCTTGACAAACAAGGCCGCTGTGCAGAGAAACAAGTTGAGCACGGTTTCTACCAGGGACAAGGTGGGAATTGAATTCGGAAACTCTTGCTTATGAAGCAAGTGCTCTACCACTACACCACTACTGCTTGTAAGAATCCCTTGTTTAAATTGAACTGCAACAAAGTACAGCATAATAAAGTACGGCATTGCTTTTAAATTGTATTGGCTAGACCAAGCTGAATTTTACAGCAGTATTTTCAAACATTTTCAAAAGTCGTCTCAACTTTCTGCCACCAAAAGAAAAACTTTATCTGCTTCTTTAAAAAAAGGTATATAGAATATAAAAAGAAATTAGAAGAATATAAAATAATTATTAGTAAAAATTTCAAAAAAATTAAAAAAATACTAATCTATTCATAATGACTTGATTACTTACAAGCAAAACAGTTTTATTTCCATCCAATTTAAACTAATTATTCATTGAGTTCTACTATTTTTTGCTAATAATTTTTAAAAGTTTATTGTTAGAAGAATCGAATTTTGATTTGATTATTTACCCAATAGTAGTTGTACTTAGGAATCTCTGGCAGATAACAGAATAACTTACCTTAGAGTCAACCCGTAAATGAGCTTATAAATATTTAAAAATTAAATATGAAGATCATAAAAATCAAATTATATTTGAGCATTTAAATGTAATAGGAGATCATTCATTTAGTTTTACTGTTTATTCTGCTGAAATTGTAACTTGGTAAGGTTTATTCTGCTGAAATGGTAAGAATTTTTGAATTTTTTGCATAAAGTCATTCCACTTACCATAGATAGATGTTGCATTTTAACTTTGAAATGAGTATATTCTTATGATGATATTGCTTTTTTAAATTTTGTGCTGTCAAACCTTGATGAAAAAAAAAAAAAAAAAATGTGTTTTATTAATAGATTAAGTTTATGTAAAAGCTGCATTATATCAAAGGGGAAATATTTTTAGAAAAGATGTTAACTATAAATTTTTATTTTAATTCACCTCCTCAAGGCCGAGAAGGCCACTACAGACGAGGAGGCTACTTATTTGTGGCTATAACCCTCTCTCAACTCTATAACTCCGAAACACGAATTTTATATGCGATGTTATATGCATTTTGTGCTATCTTCTAATCTTTCACATTTTTTTCTTCTCAAATCTTGACAATAAAAAAAAGAAATTGGTTTTTACTGATAAATGAAGTTTATATAAAAACTGCATTATTATTATGTTAAAGCTGTATTATTAAATGAAAATATTTTTGGAAAAGCTGTTAATTATCCAGAAATTAGCTGTTACTGTACTTTAATTTATGTTCAAAAGTATTTATGGTGAACCTGGATTTTCATCAAGAGTTTTACCAGTTAGTATTTTAAGATCAGATTTCCAACTAGAACAATGTAAATTGATTGTAGACACCATAGAAAGTTTATCAATTGTAGACACCATAGAAAGTTCTATATGTGATGATAAAGTAATTACAATTATTGCATTAGTTTGCCATCACATATAGAACTTTCTATTTTTCTACCAAATTACTGATGGAAATAGTTTACTAAAAGTAAACCAAAGCTTTTTTTCTACACTCATAATAATAGATAGAAAATATTAGTTATGTCAAAATGGTTTTTGAAGTGCTTAAGAAATTATTATTTTATACAACAATATTTTGAAGTGCATAAGAAATTATTATTTTATATAACAATGTTTTGAAGTGCATAAGAAATTATTATTTATACAACAATATTTTGAAATGCATAAGAAATTATTATTTTATACAACAATATTTTGAAGTGCATAAGAAATTATTATTTTATACAACAATGTTTTGAAGTGCATAAGAAACAATTGATTGACAGAAAAACTATACCAATTAAAGTTTATTCATGATGAAATAACTTATATTGCAAATTGGAGAGATTTGATTTCATTAAAAAAAACTTAACTAACAAAGTTATTAGCAATCCAGAATGAATGAAACATCAATAAATCCTAAATCAATAGAAAGACAAAAAGTAAGCACTTGTTTAAAAGTGTTTAGAGAAGAGATAAAATATTTTAAGAAAGTTTACATTATATTTTATGAAGTTGTTAAGCAATTATGAAAAAATCTTTTTATATCAATAAATTTTGCATATTTAAGCTGGGGCCTAATAATTGACTTGTATAACAACTTTAATATGACAACATCAAGATATTTAAATTTATGTTTTATAAAACCTAGTGTTCCATTAGCTTTATTTGCAACACTTATAACACGATTTTCACATTCAAGGTCATTTGACATTACAAACACCTAAATCTCTTTCGATTTCTGTTTTTTGTAAAAAAAAATTTTCTAATTTTTAATTAAAAATGTTGATAATCCTATATTGATAAATGGCAAAACTCATACTGAGTGATCTACTTAATGTCTTCTTAGATGAACTTTCTTTACGCACCTCACATAGCAAAATAAGTATTCAAATCATCTTAAAATCAACATCTGTTAAAGCTGTTCTCTTTATTGTGTAATTTTTTTTTTTAACATTTGCTTTAAAGCTGCTTAGTTTTGAGACAAGGTGCAAAAATACAATGTTAACTTAGTTACGCTTAGTTTGATAAAAAAATTCAATCTTGTGTGAGTCGTCATTCAGTAAAGTTGCATCCTTTAACCATATATGATCATTCATATATGGTTGAAAGATGCAACTTTCTTTTCTCATGGAAATATGGGGATTATTAACTTATTAATTTTAATTTTAATAAAAAAAGTATTTAAAAATATTATTAATTATTAATAGTAACTATTAACTCTTAAATTTAATTTTGATATGAAAAAATTTTGGTGTTTAAAAACCTCAAAATTTATATTCCTTGTGTTGATTGAAGATAAGCTTCCTGAAATAACTGTACGATTAATAAGATATCCTAGATTTCTTGCTAACTTTATTTGGACCTTTAGTTCACTTCCAGACTCTGTGTAATTACCTTCTGGAATTTTCTCAGCTACAAAAAATATAAGTGGTATTAAAATATTAGCAAACAAAAAATTTCAAGGACTACTTGGCATTAATGTTTTTGTTAAAGAACTTATCAAATAATTGTTTTTAACAACAACAAAAAAGCTAATTAAGTAAAAAGAAATGCAAAAAATTCATTATAATTTATATGTTCAAACCTTCATTATAATTTATATGTTCTCCATTATTTGATTCAAAATGGGTTTTTATAAGAGATACCATTTTATATAACTGTTTACCAGTTACTAATTCTGAAAGATCAAATTCAGCAACTCCATAGCTAAGTTCAAAAAAACCTTCATGAGGAGGATTCACTACAAATAAAAAAAATTAAACTTAGAAATTTTAGAAAAGTTAGAAACTTAATTAAAAGTTAGAAATTTTAGAAACTTTAGAAAAGTTGAAATAATGTAAGTTTTTTATTAAACAAAAAAAAAATATAAAAAAAATATAGAAAAATAAAGAGACTGGAGTTAGTTGTAACAGGTTTCAATGTAGCATTTTATTAAAAAGTTGTGCAACGTTATTTGATGCTTTTGAATATTCTAAATCAATTTGTTTAAGTTGAAATATTTGCATCATTCAAATATAAATATAAAATAAAATGTAGCATTTTTTTATTGTTGATGGTTTAAATTTGTAAAAGCTTGAGTTATAACAAAATCAACAGGAAAGTCTTTTGTTTTACTTCTTAAAATTAAAAAATTTTATGAGCGCATCAATTCACGATGCAATGTGCTAGTTTGATAAATACATCAAGAAAAATATTTAACTTTCCCAAAAACTAAAATTTGCAACGCCTGCTCAAACTCACTAAAATTTAAGTTTCATTAGCTCAATATAAAGTTATACTTAAGGTGACTTAATCCCATTACTACAAAATTCTTTAAAATCAAAATTATTTCTCCAAACTAGGTTTAGCATTGGTAGATTAAAAAAAAAATTGCTCTAAAAAAAATGCTGTGTTAGCAAAAATCGCTAAAGAAGTTCAAACATTAGATTCTAAATGTCTGTAAGTAGTATTTGAAATAAATGTTTACTGTATTTAGATAAAATAGTAAAGGAGGTTCTAAACTAAAATCTAACATTGAAACACTCCAATCTATAATGGCAGACCATATTATTTAAGCATTAAAAAACCTGGTTATTAAAAAAAATAAAAACACAATTACACAAGATCTGTTTGCTCTATATAGTTGTTTTTAGTTCAGAACCTAGTTCCAATATTGATGATAGTGCTGTGAAAATTTCAAGTTAATGGGCGGAATAAAAGTTTAAAAAACTGTTGTTTAAATTTAAGGAACAGCAAGAAAATCCTATTTCTGAGAAAAAATGAAAATAAAATAAAAAATGAAAAAATAGTATAAAAATTTGAAGACTAGTGTACAGCAGAACTATATATTTTCTTGTTTGACTTTTTTTTTTTTTATCAAAAAAATTTTTTTTTTTTTATAAGATATTGAATTTTTATTGTTTTTTTTTATAATATTTTATTCAATTTACATGATCAATTTGCTTAATCCAAGTATCGCTTATTTTTGTTTAATAAAAGATAAAATAGCTGTAAATTAAAAACTTTTTTCTATTCAATCATATTTTATTTTTATTATTACCCATATTTATTAACGCAATAAATATAAAAAAAGGCATCAAAAACACATAAGCAGTTAATTATATTACTGAGATGGTTATTCTCTTAAAATTCTTCTTTAAATGTCAGCATAGTAGTAAACTTCGGCTTGTATATAACAGAATATCATAAAAAAAGCTAGAAAAACCAGAGATTGGATCTTGCAGATCAAATTAAGACTTTTGGAGCAATATAGGCAGGTTGCTATGGTGTTGCTAAGGATAAAAAAGATCCTCATACCCCATAAAAACACAAATCTTCTATCAAGGAACATATAATTTACCACAAAGGAATATATAATATACCACGTTAGCCTCAAGAGTATTATTGAAATCATGGTCTAATAGCCTCTGCTTCTATTTTATTAAAAGTTTAGTTATTATTTGGAAGAATCACTCTAAAGAGTTTTAGATGATATAAATAGTTTGTTTCTTTCTTTTAAATCAGCCATGTTTCTTTTAAATCAGCCATTTCAATTATAATAGATCCACGGTTTTCCAAATTTCTTCACTTAAAACTTTTTACACTGCGAATCAAAGTTAAAGACTTTGATTCACAGTGAAAGAAGGTTTAAATTAAGAAACTTTATGAAATTAAGAAAAACTTTTTACATTTGTCTCATTTTAAAAATAGCCCAAAAATAATTTATTTTTTATATTTTTAAAGAGACAAGATTTTCAGCCATGTAACAGGGTTCTTTGAAGCAGTCTGACATGGCTTGTTGAAAATAAAACTGTATAAGTTGATTATGAAATATGCCACCCTATGTTTTTGAAAATATAATAAAATGATTAGTAATTGCCAAAACTAAAAGTCAGCTTCTAATTAATTTTAACCAATCACAAAAAACTATATTTTAGAATTTATAAATTTGAAATGTGTTTTAACTATCCCCAGTCTCCTTCAATAAAAAAAGATTTTTCTACTTATTTCTTTCACTTCTAAGCATTTACCTAAATAGTCTAGAGTTGATATTTCAGGATCATTATCCTTTTCACCAAACAAAGCAGCTGCAGGTGCGATGCAAGGTTTAGGATCTCTATCATGAACTTCTATTTTGAAAGGAGGGCCTAACAAGTATTCAATAAGTTTATTTTTCTTTATCAACCCCAGTAAAACTATAAACCTATCATTGAAGTGAATAGTTGATCCATGTTCTTTGTATAAACTAGTGTGAGGCTCATTTTCAAACAAACAATAACGGACATATGGTGGTAGACATCTACAGAGGTAAAAAAATATTAATGTCACTATACAACAAAATAAAAAAATTATCAGCCTAAGTTAAAAATAAACGCAATAAATTTTTTGAGCTTATTTTTTTTTTATAAATAAAAATTTATTTTTTAAATTAAAGTATTTAAATATATAATACAATATTAAATTACAGATTGCATATTATAATAAATTGCACTATTTAATTCAGTTTTTATAAATAATAATGAACCATTTATAAAAACTTAATAAAAATTCATTTCTTTCAGTTTTTATAAACAATAAAAGGTTGTCCAATAATTATGTCCCGTGATTTTTGACCATTTTTGATGGTCACAATATTGTAACACTTTAGTAACAAGTAGCATATGAGTTGTCACAAAACCATTACCCCCCCCCCCCCACACACACACACAAACACACACACACACTTAAGCATAATGAAATTTATGGACGACCCCTAATGTTTATATTAAATTTTAATAAATAATAATATATTTTAAACTTTATTATTTGAAGTAAAAAAAAAATTAAAATGTCAATTAGTGATAGATGAGTGTTGCTGACTTTATTAATGTATATAAAATACCTAATGTTTTAAAAACATCATCCAAGATTGTTTACAATAAATTTTCTATTACTTGATTTTATGGAAATGCATTGTTGTAATTGCTTTGCATTGAAACATTTATAGAATTTGCAAGAAACTTTTGTCATGTGTAATTTTCTCTTATGACATTTTAATAACTTGCTAAAAATATTTTAACTAATTATTTTTAATGTCGTTAAGTGATTTTTAATGGCAATATTTGATGTTTATTTTATTGTATAAATTATTTAACCTTTTGGAGCATAGTAATGCTTGGAATAAGTTCAATACAGTTACTAAGTGGAGCCACCATCCTTCTGTCAGGGAAAGTACAAAATGAAAGAAAAACCAACTTGAAATCAAGAAGCGGGATCATGAAGCAGTGTTTGATGGAATGGATTGGAAAGTAAAATGAATGTAAAGAGATGAGAAAATCTAAATCTATCTACAAACACTGGCAGTGTCAAATAGTGGTCTTGTAGAACAAGTGGTACTTATGCAGCTTAGTTTCAGACTTAATATGACATCAATAATTATAAAGTCTGTATTAAGCTAAATCTCAGAGAAGTTATCAAGAAAGACGTTGTTTTTTATTTGTGGACAACTTGCGAACTTGCTAGTGTGCAATTAGTTGTATGTTGTTTGTAATCTTGGTAAATAAAAAGCAGTTTTTTTATCGAGTGGGTGAGATAGTGGGATTCATAATAAAGGAGTGCAGTATGTGCTGATGAAAATACTAAAAAAAGTGGGAGAAAGTAAACCTGTTTGTAAAGAATGGGAAGTATGACTCAACAAAATTAAAAGTGAATGTTGATGCTAGTTCCTTAGCATTAGGATGATCTGAAGTTTATATAAATAAGCAGAATTGAAGACCATATTGCATAGTGTTATATGGCAAGGAATCTCATCAAACTGCAATGGTTCAGACATTAAAGCACCAGAAAACCACTGAATAACAAATAAAAGTCTTTCACTGGTTTTCTAATGCCTTAATAGGGAAATTAAGACTGAAGTCAAAAAAATCAAGTGAACTATTAATACAACAAAGAGTAAACAGTTTCAGGAGGCAATTGATGAATATAACTTGGAAGTTGACATAAAGTTGATATCATCAAAAAGCAATCTGGCTGATTCCTTAATTAGAATATCTAGTTGGGAGATAAAAATGTTGAAACTCGACGGCTCTGCAACCGTATCAATTGATAGATCCAGACAGTATTTTGGTAAAGAGTCTCCATTAACAAAAAAGAAATGAGTCCAATGGACAAACTGAATAACTATGAGGGGTGGCTTAAAGGATTGAACAAAAGGTCAGTTTAGAAAATATGTATGGGTGATACCATGCTAGACATAGTGATATGTGGCATTCATGCACCAATATTCTGGAAAAAATGAAGCAAAGTGGATGAGAGTGGTGTTCGTTTACCAAAATTCTAGAAAAAAATGAAGCAAAGAGAATGAGATGCCACCCTATGTGAATCATGTCATACAACTTGTTTAAAAAGTTTGAAACAGTTCTACATTGATTGTTTTAGATATGTAGTAATCTACAGTAAGAAAATTTTAAATTGTGGTGCTGATTATTAGTAATTGACCAAAATTTGGTTTTGATATTTTTTATGTAGTTTTTTTATTTAGTTAGCAGTCTATAAACTGTTCTTCATCAGAAAGCACACCCTAATATTCATTTAATTTAAAGCAGACACTTTTGGTTTCAGTTGAAATTTCAATTTAAACCAATACCAAAATTTCAATTTTTGGTACTTTTTATAAATTCAGTAAAAAGCAAAATTTCAGTTGAAAAACATACCAAAAACCAAAAATTTTGTATGATTTTAAATTTTTATTTAACTAAAAAAAATTCTAATTTTTGACAATATTCACGAAACATATTTCCATTTCTAAATGAAATTTAAGCCCATCATTCACATATGACTTCTGTGGTACCTCAAGGTTTTATCCTTGGTCCTGTTTTGTTTCTTTTCTACAGTAATGATCTTTCCAACAACTTTACATTTAAAGTAGCTTTTTATGACTCAACTTTATACTCCTGTCTTGACAAAAAGTCTTCTCTTTCGATTGCTTAGAACAGGCATCTTGAATCTGATCTCTTTTCTGTAACAGATTATGGCTTAGTGGCTTGTAAATTTTAACCCCAACAAAACTCATATTTACTGCAACTTAAGACATAAAACAATATAAAATATATTTACTGCAACATAAAACATAAAACAAACTCCAACAAAACTCTTTACTGCAAACAACTATTGCAATACTGTTGACATTTCTATATTTATAAATGACAACCCTCTCATTAAGTCCTCTTCTTTACGCCTTCTTGGACTATCGTTTACTACTGACCTTTATATACAATCAATTGCTAAATAAGCATCTACTAAAGATGCTTGTCTTTACCCTGCTTGCCATTTTCTTTCTCCTGATTCTATTCTCTACTTCTACAAATTTCTTATTTGTCTCTTTATAGAATATTGTTGCCATATTTGGGCTGGTTTTTCTAATGATGCTCTTTTTCTTC